GGTGTTGGGCGGAGTGAAGGAAGAGCTCCTGCGTGGGCGGGAAGGAGCTGCCGTCCTGTGCGGGCGAATTGAAGCCTCTAATGGCCTGTGCGCTACCTCAGGCTGAGCTGCTTTGTCTGGACTGTCTGTCCCAGTTACTCCTGTTTCCCAAGCTTGTAAATGACGTTGTAAATAATGGCTCAAGCTGTGAAATATTGCAGTTTTAAGCATGAAGAGGTAGGTTTTACTACTCACGGGGTCATAGCTGAGAACGAGTGAGGTAATGAGACTGCCTTACACATAACTGCTCACCTGCTGGTGATGGGGTGAGAGTCCTGGCAGTATTGCCAAGATGCAGACATTTTGCTTTTAGCCGCACAAAATACGAGCCAGAGGGGTAGCATTCCTCTTGGAACCGGACACAAAGCTCCCCTGGGCTGCTGCGGTGGTCAGGCTCAGCCTGCAGTCCTGTCGGTAGTGTCTTGGGGACACAAACAAGTATGTAAGAGCGTGGTCCCTTTTCAGGACTTTCCTGCATCACGTCACGGGCTGGGCTGGAGTGTCGGCAGCACCGAGCGTGGTTTGGAGCGTGCGGAAGGCGTCTCCCCCACGAGAGATGGAGTCGTGCGGGAGGGATGTTGCGTGTCCGTGGCTCACCCGGCAGAGGGCTCCCCTTCTAAGCTAATAAAAACCAGGCTTTATACCTGATTTAACGGAGAGCGAAATGCTTTGTAAATCACCATACCTAGGAATGCTGTATTCTTGGTTTAGGGTTTGAGAGTAGCCTATGCTTTATGTTTCTTAATACCTAATTGAAAGTATTTGGTAAAACTTGAACAACATGTATGACGTTATTATAATTTTTTATGGATTGATGTGTGTGTGTGTATTTGTATGTAAATATGTGCAAACACATGCATGCAAGCCTGATCAGTTCTCTTCCTGCTTCATACATCATTTTTTAGGAAAAAAAATGCTTTATGGATAGAAGAACACTCTGAGTATGACTGCAAAAAATAGCAGGCTGCTGACTTTCTGCAAATAGAAATCTATAGATCCAATGGGCACCACTCAGGGGTTTAAAATTTAAACTTAAATAAAAGTTCAGATAGGACAATTGTGTGAAAATGCAGGTGTGTGCATGCCAATATCTTTTTTTGACAAGACACTTGATTCCCTTCTGCAGGATGATTAGGAACTCATTTTTGCACAAGGCACTGGAATCCAAAAAAAACCACTGGACTTAGGAAGAAAGCCTTACCTGTTATCTCTGTGTGGGTACCTATGCTTTTTAAAATTATAAACAAACAAGGTGTAGGTTGTCTTTTCTCCTTTGAGAATATGCTCTGTATTGTGCCCTGTAAACCAAGAAGTGTTATCAACCCGTTCTGTAACTTTAACAGTAAGCAGGAGGCGTTATCAGTTACTGTCAGAAGTTGGATTAGTTCAGAAACACTGGTTATCATGTCCATTTGAAGTAAGCTGTACCTTTATGACTGTGCTGCTTTCAGTTATATATAGAATTGACAACTTTTCAAGCAGGCAACAAGGGCTAAAACTAGAGAAGCAGGGTGGTGTTGTAGGTAAAGCTCATCAATCAACTGTAAAACATCAGAGATGTACTTCAGATATTTGGGATTTCATTGTGATGTTCGAGTGGGTTTGGTATTTTGTAGCACAGGAAGATTTTGGTAGGTAGAGTGTTTGGGAGGTGAGAACTTTTCAATGCCATTTGACTGCCATAAGGAGCACAAGCCAACGTCAAGGAACACAGCTACTAAAAGTTCTCACTGCTTTCTACAAGTGGGAGGAAAATATTAATCCCCTTCTCTTCTTTCTCTGAATTAAATCTTGTGGTCTGCTTCTCCTTCCACTTTGAATTTATTTCCTTGTGAAAGTATAGCTGGCAAAGGAGTTACCCTCTGTAGGCAAAGGGGAGCAGGCTCTTCAGGTGCTCTTCTGTTCCTTTAGCAAGTCTGATCTCCATCAAACACTACGGCAAGGAAAATATATTTGACCTAAACTGCTCCCTCTCTGTACAGTCCATTTTCCCGCCTGCCTGCCCAAGAAATGAACAATCC